TTTTTTGGTTGTAGTTGTCATTGTTGTTTGGCAGGCCCCGGCTGGGTTCAAACCTTCCAGTCCCCATGCATGTGGCTGGGGCCTTAGCAGCCGAGCTACAGGCATTGAGCCTTTTTTTTTTTTTTTAATTGTTGGGGATTCATGGAGGGTACAAAGAACCAGGTTGCATTTGTTAGGTAAAGTCCCTCTTATAATTGTGTCCCACCCCCAAAAAGTGTGTTACACACTATGACCCCCAGCCTCTTCCTTTTAAGCACCCAAAGTGGAAGGAGCTTTAAGACAGAGAATTCCCTTCCCTCCCTCACTGCCTAGGATGCTCTTTTGTAGAATATTCATAGTACTAGAGTAGCAGCCTTTATGTTTGCTTAAAGTGGTACATTTATGCACAGCGGCCCCCCAGTGAAACTCTCAGAGCCCTGAAGAGAACATGTTACTGAGTCTCCCCAGCCGAGAGGGGCACAGGGGATCAGAAAAACAAGCTTGTAACAAACAGAGCAAAGGAAGCAAGTGCCCTTCTCTCTTTGCCAGGCCTTAGGAAGGTTGAGGACCACTGCTTTATGGGCTGCAGACAGCTCCCGGAGGCCCCTGCTGCCGGCAGGGCTGGGAACTGTTTGCAAAGGGAAAGGGAGTTTCTCCAGCTTTTGCTTAGAAGCTGTGCAATTCCAGCTGGTCTTCACCCCACGCTCTTTGTAGCTGATCTAGGAGGATTTCAGTCTAAAACTCAAGCAATAGTGACTGCAGGGCTCCCGTCATCTCCCAACTGGTTATACATAAAGCAGTCACTTCCCAACCTTTGACTGCCACACTGACACCAGGGCTGGAGGAAGGCTGATGGGAATCAGAGCACCTGTTTTCAAGTGCTGTACTGAGGATGAAATGTACAACCATAGTGGGTCCTGTATATTGCCCAGCACACAGTGGGTGCCCATTAAATGTTTGTTTTCTTTCTTCCCCTTGCCAAAGTACCGTATTTTGCTTCCTTTTAATTTCTCCCTATGTCTACAACTTAATAAAATGTTTCCCACAAAAATGAGTAGGATAAAACTATCTTCAGTCTATTCTGGGTGTGCTTATCTCTGGGCATGTTTTATTTAAGCGCATACAGGGTTTGTTTTGTCTCTTTATATTTTGTCTAAGGTTATATTTTTATAGTCACATTTGTACTTTTGATGATTCAATTATCGTCCATATACAACACAGAGAAAGAATTTTGTCAAATGTTTTTCCAATGAACATGCTTTCACCTAGAGGTACCTGATCATATCTTTATTTCTCTTGAGTAGCGAAATAGCAAAAGCAGAATTCCTCCTCAGTGAGTACATGAAATATGGGTTTTTCCTGCTGAAATTATCTCCAAAGCATTGGCAAATCCAGCAGGCCCTGAAAAGATCGCAGCCAAAAGCTAAAGCAAGCACCATCCTTCCGAAACTATTAACAAGTAAGTCACATATTTGTAATTCCAGTTAAGTAAATATTCCTAACATCTGCTTCAATGTTTGTTTGGTATTTATTTAAATATTAAGAATTTTTAATCTGGGAGCAGTGGCTCCTGCCTGTAATCTCAGCACCCGGGGAGGCCCAGGTAGGTGAACTGCCTGAGCTCAGGAGTTGGAGACCAGCCTGAGCCAGAGTGAGACCCCCTAAAAAATAGCTGGGAGTTGTTGCCTTCAGTCCCAGCTTCTTGGGAGGCTGAGGCAAGAGAATCACTTGAGCTCAAGAGTTTGAGGTTGCTGTGAGTTATGATGCCATGGCACTCTACCAAGGGGAACAAAGGGAGACTGTCTCAAAAAAAAAAATATATATATATATATATATATACACATACACATGAAGAATTTTTTTTTTTTTTTTTTAGAGACAGTCTCACTTTATCGCCCTCTGTAGAGTACTATAGCATTACAGCTTACAGCAACCTCCAACTCTTGGCCTTAGGTGATTTTCTTGCCTCAGCCTCCCGAGTAGCTGGGATTACAGGCACCTGCCACAACACTCTGATATTTTTGTTGCAGTTTGGCTGGGGCCAGGTTTGAACCTGCCACCTTTGGTATATGGGGCCAGTGACCTACTCACTGAGCCACAGGCGCTGCCTTGTATGAAGAATTTTTAAAGGAAAATCTGAATAAGGATTCTTACTCTGTCTTATTAATTCGTATTATTAATTTGGAAACTCAGGCTAATTTTAGATATAAAGTGTCTAAGTCCATTGTGTTGCTACAACAGAAGCTGGATAGATTTATAAATAAAAGAGGTTTATGTGGCTCAGCGCCGTAGCACAATGGTTACAGTGCCAGCCACATGCACCGAGTTGGTAGGTTCAAACCTGGCTGGGGCCAGCTAAACAACAATGACAACTGCAATAACAACAACAACAACTAGCCAGGTGTTCTGGGCAGGCACCTATAGTCCCAGCTACTTGGAAGGCTGAGGCAAGAGAATCACTTAAGCCCAAGAGTTTCAGGTTGCTGTGAGCTGTGACACTACGGCACTCCACCGAGGGCAACGTAGTGTGAGACTCTGTCTCAAAAATAAATAAGGTTTGTCTGGCTTGTGGTTCTGCAGGCTGTACAAGAAGCAGGGCACCAGTATCTGCTTCTGGGGAGGGCTTTGAGCTGCCTCCACTTGTGGTGGAGGGGAAAGGAGAGCAGCCTGGGGAGAGATCTCATGGCAGAGAGGAAGTGAGAGGGGAGACAGGTACATGCCAGGCTCTTTTAACAACCAGTTCTCACAGGAACTAATAGAGTGAGAACTCATTCATACTGCAAGAGCAATGATGACGAGCCATTCATGAGAATCCACCTACATGACCCATCCCCTGCCACTGAGCCACAGCTCCAACACTGGGGATCAGATCTGACCATGAGAGTTGAAGGGTCAAATATCCAAACTATTGCATACAGCGACAAAAATCTAGGCATGGAGGCTCAGCACCAGCTAAACAACAATGACAACTGCAACAAAAAATAACCGGGTATTGTGGCAGACACCTATAATCCCAGCTACTTGGGAGCCTGAGGCAAGAGAATCGCTTAAGCCCAAGAGTTGGAGGTTGCTGTGAGCTGTGATGCCGCGGCACTCGACCAAGGGCAACAAAGCGAGACTGTCTCAAATAATAATAATAAAAATCTAGGCATGAAGAAATAGAAAATATATTATTTGCAGGTGATATGATAACATAACTAAAACCTCTCCCCCCAAACTGAGAAACTATTTTATTTGATTAAAGGATTCTGTTAAGTAAATGGACACAAAGTTAATTATACTTTATTAATCTAAATTAATTTTATTAATTAGAAAATATACAGGGAAGTCAAATCCAAGGAACTAACAATAACCTTCATGTGTGTGACCTGTAGGTTTGATGAAGAGGAAAAATATGTCACATTCTCAGATAGAAAGATTGATATTATAAAGTTGCCAATTTTTTTTAAAGTTTTATGAAGTTATAGTAGAAATGTTAGCAAAAATTCATTGGGGAGTTGAGTATTGGGTGGAGAGGACTTTGTACAATAGTTCCAAGGTTCATCTAGAAAGATAAACATTTTTGCTTTAAGAATGTAATGGGAAAAGGTTAGTAATGTTGTAAAATATTGTATATTATTGCAGAATCTTAGTTATTAGAACAGTAATGTACTGGCAGCAGGAGGCCAGCTTAATGGACCAGGAACAGATTCTATTACACATATTAAAGAATTTAATAAATGACAAAAGTAAGGTCAAAATTCAAAGGGCAAGATTTGCACTTCCAGAAATATTTGGGTAACAAGGAAGAGATTTACTCTCCTGCCTGAAGAATCTGAAAAACTGTGGAAATTAACGAAGCAATAGATGTGGGACCCTGGACATCAAGCATCAAAGCTGAGTTATCCTTAGGAGAGAGGAAATCCATGAATGAGCTCTGGAATTGCCCAGCTTACTGCTGGGGGAGAATTCCCAGGTTGTAGCATAGGGCTGGGGAGCCCAGGGTGGAGCCCAGCTGAGAATCAATGCTACTACTCCAGGGCAGGAGCGTTTACACCACAGAAATGGGCAAACTACACGTCAGGGAGAATTTGTTTCCCAGAGAGCTGGTTGCTAAACATTTACCAGCCCATCAGTTGCCCCGCTCAGTTCCCTGTATCTCTCACAAGTGAGATTAAGCTCCCTTAATGGTGTTGAAGGAGGGAGAAAATGAATGGGAAGAAAAAACTTAAGTTTTTATATTCCAAAGCTTAAGATTCAGTCTCCCTAGATTTGTCATCTAAACAGAAAATGCTCAGATGCCGGCTAAGTTACGCACTCAGAGGAATGCATCTAATATTTGGGATTTTAGGAGCCGTGGTGGGGCAGTTCCTATCCATTCTGCCTGCTCCACACACGAGCCCTTGCCATTTAGATCATAAGTTTGCTGGTTCACAATGTCCCCGTCTTGGATTTCTGTCCCTGAAAGTTTTGACAAAAATTCTGCTTTCACCCCAAGACAAAGCTCTTATTCTCAGAAGTGTTTTTTGCCCTCTCCTTATCTGTCACTCTCTCTGCCTCCCTCCACCCCTTTATTTTTCATTTCTAGAACTCACACTACAGCCAAATAAAAAAGAAGACATCCCTGAGGATTCTGCGCAGGTATCAGTCATTTCAGAAGACTCTACTCAGGGAAAAAGTCCCCAAGGTAAAATAAAACCCCAGAATGTGTCCATCTCAAAGTGGACCTACGAGCCAACCTGAGCGTTAGAGGGCAGTGTCCACCTTACCCTTAACCGTGGGGAGCCAGGAGTTCTAGTTCTGTATGTGACATTATCACAAAAATCAGGGTGCACAAGTGGACAGAGCAGGCAGAGAATCAGGGGAAGAGGCCATGAATCACCCCCACCCAGCCCCAAAACTGAGGTCTTTCTAGTGGGCTGTTCCTCTGGCTCAAGCCTGCCCTCTGTAATTGACAGGCCCATTCCCAGGGCCCAGGAGACCAGGCCACTTGCAACCAGGTGACTGCCATTGCCTAGTGACTTGGAGAAGCATCTCTGGGGGAAAGCTGAGATAGCTCCAACACGCCCCCCATCAGCTCTGAGAACTTTAACATCACCACCCACTTCAGGTGGGACAAACCCCCCTCCCCCACCCCTTCATAGCTGCACACCAGGGGCCGGCCCACTTAGCGGCCCTACCTGCCTCTAATGTTTTGACATTATTTGGCTTAGTGGATAATGTTTAAAAATCGGCAGTTAAAAAAAAATTCTCTAATTTCATCTTCTCTTGAGAACCACAAGATTTGAAGTCTGAAGATAAGCTGGGAATGTTCCCATGGGAGGGGTCTGATCTCTCCAGATGCCTCAGGCCTTATTGAGCCCACTTCCCTGCTCTGCCTGTGTTCATCCTTCCCCAAGACAGGCTGACACTTGGAGACCTTTCCTCCTCTATCCTGCTGCCAGCCAGCGGATACATTTAGTGATGCTGATAAAGCTCAGCTGTGCGCCTGCCCAGAAAGGACCTACTGTGGGCCTGAGGCCTTGTACATTCTGACAGCTGACTGAGAAAGAGAATTCTTTTGGCTTGTGAACCTGATTTGGATCCAAATTATTTAAGACTTATTACTTTGCCAGTTGGAGGATCTGGAGGGAGTGGGGGTGTCAGTGTTCTCTTTGAAATCTTGAATATAGAAGTTACTGAGTTGAAATAATACTCCTTCAGGCTGGGTGCCCAATTGCTCAGTGGTTAGAGCACTAGCCCCGTGCATTGGGGCTGGCAGTTCGAACCTTGCCCAGGCTGGCCATAAATAAATAAATAATACCCTTTCACAGTATCTTTTGGTAGTATGTGTCAGGGAGCCAGGTTAAAAGCTAAGATGACAATGGGACCCATCTGTTTCTTCACCTGTTTTTCCCCTTCCCTACCCGTGTAGTATTTATTGGAGGTAAAAAATGTGTCAGGGACTCTTCAAGACCTTGAGTAGACAAAAGCAAATCAGAAAATAGTTCTGCACCCCAGGAGTATACACTACCCTGGAGCGAGTGATACGGTGGTGGTAGATGGTGACCTCTGCCTGAGGGATTTAGAAGGCTCTTTATAGAGGAAGTCTCAAGCTCGTTGTGGTGGCTCAGGCCTGTAATCCTAGCACTGGGAAGCCGAGGCAGGTGGATGGCCTGAGCTAGGAGTTTGAGATCAGCCTGAGTGACAGTGATACCCCAGCTCTAAAAAAAAAAAAAAAAAAAAGTAGCCAGGCATTGTGGCGGGCACCTATAGTCCCAGCTATTTGGGAGGCTGAGGCAAGAAGATTGCTTGAGCCCAAGAGTTTGAGGTTGCTGTGAGCTATGATGCCATAGCACTCTACCCCAGGGTGACAGAATGAGACTCTGTCTCAAAAAGAAAAAAAAAGGGAAAAAAAAAGTGTAGACCAAAGTCCAGCTGAGATGGATTTTGAAGGATGAATAGGAGTTTGCTGGGTGGAGGGTGGGGCAAGTGAGGCTCTGTGGGTTCAAGACAGAACAGGAAGAGAGAGGAAGCTGTAAATGCCCCGAATGAAGAGACAAGCTCAGGGATCGGGGCCTGGGGGCCAGTGGATGAAGTGACTCAAAACCAGTTTCAAGCTCTTCTCAGTTTTACACCAAGGTCAAGTGTGGACCGTGATGTGGAGGAGACAAGTGCACCTGGGTATGAGGGGAACAGGTGCCAGGTGACTTGGGTGTGGCAACGACAGGTCTCTCCACACGATGTCATCATTTCATAAAAAAGTAATTAGAAATATATATGTGATTAGGCAAAAATAGAACCATGGGATGTATATTTCACCACTTACGTCCCCAATTGTGACCTTCGGTAGTTGTATCCTGATGATGATGCGCCCCACCTCCCCCCCCAGCCACTGTGCCTTTGATTTTATATTTACGCTTGGAAGAATTTCCATGGAATAAAAGGCCTCCATTTTCTATATGATTATCATTCTAATAATAGAATACTTTCCAAATGAAGTAATGGGTGTATCTCAGCAGAAAAACGAATCACTTGCAGCAAGTCACAGGACTCATTTCTAATCATGTGTTATTTTTTTTTTCACGCCGCCATCACCAATGGTGTGGACTTCACTTGGATATTTTGGACAGCAAAGTCAGTCAAGCGGTTCCCTGCCACTCCAGAGAAAACAAAATCAGTGATATCAAGGTATAGTGTACATTTGGTTAAGTCTCTTGGCAACAATGAATGGTTTTTAGCAAATAACTCTTAGCCTTTCCTCGACACATGTATCCTATAGCCACACCCGGGGTAAAAAACATTGCAGGCAGTGGTGCCATTTCTGCATACGTGTTAGATTTCATAGACTTCTCTGCCTTCTTCAGTGTGTGCCCTGTGGATTTGGGGTCTTTGCCTCTCAGCATCCCACTGCCCTTTTGTTTGTTAAACCGTTTTGCTAGCCACTGTGTGGATCGTTTCATCTCGCCGTTCAGAATTGTGTTGATGGGACCATAAGGTATTTTATTTTAATTTATTGTCTCTTCTCTCTCTCGGTTGCTGACTCATATTACTTCAGAAGTTGCTAGTTCTTAACCCTGGCTACCCCAAGAGAATTTTGAGAAAATCTGTTGATGCCTGGGACAGACACACCAGCTCAGAGGTGAACTGGGCCAGCACAATACAGTACAACCCAGACTATCATGAGCATCGCTGGGGGAAACAGGCACACTTTGCTGACTTCTAGGGGCCCTGGATTTGTTCCATTTCTGTGTCATTTAGCAGTCACTATTTTTTTAAATTAAATGTTTATCTTGAGATGGTTGGAGATTCATGTACAGTTGTCAGAAATAACGCAGACATCCCAGGTACCCTTTAGCCAGTTTTCTCCCAGTGGTTTCCATCTTACAAATACCACAACCAGGACACTGGTCCAGTCAAATACAGAACATCACTCCAAGGAAGTTTTTTTGTTTGTTTTGAGATAGTCTCAAGCTGTCGCCCTGGGTAGAGTGCCATGGCATCACAGCAACCTCCAACTCATGGGCTTAAGCAATTCTCTTGCCTCAGCCTCCCAAGTAGCTGGGACTATAGGCACCTACCATAACATCTGGCTATTTTTTGTTATTGTTGTTTGAGACTCTCACTTTGTTGCCCTTGGTAGAGTGCCAGTGGCGTCACAGCTCTCACCAACCTCAAACTTTTGGGTTTAAGTGATTCTCTTGCCTCAGCTTCCCAAGTAGCTGGGACCACAAGCACATGCCACAACACCCAACTATTTTTTTGGTTGTAATTGTCATTATTGTTTGGCAGGCCCAGGCTGGATTCGAACCCACCAGCTCTGGTGTATGTGACTGGCACCCTGGCCGCTGAGCTTCAGGCACCGGGCCTGTTGTTGTTGTTGTTGCTGCAGTTGTCATGTTGTTTTATCTGGCCTGGTAGCTGGCCCGGGCTGAGTTCAAACCTACCAGCCTCAGTGTATGTAGCTGGCGCCCTACCAACTGAGCTATGGGTGCCACCCCAGGAATTATATTTTTTTACAAAGCATAATTCTCTGGAGTTTAATCCAAGTTCTTGGGTCTATCCATAATTGGTCCCTTTTTATTGCTAAGTAGTTGGCCATGGTTTGAACATGCTGCAATTTAACTGTTCACACCCATGGAAGAACATCTAGATTGTTTCCACTTTGGGGCCTTAATGAGTAAATTGCTAGGAATATTGTTCAACTTGTTACGTGGACATAGTTTTCATTCTCTGGAATAAATGCGTAGAATGTAATTCTAGGTTAGATGTTAGATGCATGTTTAGTGTTTTGTTTTTGTTTTGGCCAGGGTCAGATTTGAACCCGTCACCTCCAGTACATGGGGCCAGCGCCCTACTCCTTTGAGCCACAGGTGCTGCCCAATGCATGGTTAGTTTTTAAAGCAACCGTTAAATTGTTCCCCAGAGTGGCTGTATCATTTTGCATTCCCACCAGCAGTGCATGAGGGACCCCATTTTCCTCATTCTTACCAGTATCTGGTGTGTTGACTTTTTTTTAAACTATCCTCATAGGTGTGCAGTGATGTCTTACTGTGATTTTAATTTGGATCTTCCTAGAGCTAATGGCATTGGACATGTATTCATGTGCTTGTTGGCATCTTTCTAACTTCTAGAAATGTCTTCTACTCATTTTCTAACTGGATTCATTGTTGTTTTTTTTAGCCTTTGAATGTTGTGAAAAAAAAAAATTTTTTTTGAGACAGTCTCAAGCTGTTGCCCTGGGTAGAGTGCCATGGTGTCATAGCTCACAGAAACCTCCAACTCCTAGGCTCAAGAGATCCTCTTGCCTCAGTTTTTCTATTTTAGTAGAGACAGGGGTCTCGCTTTTGCTCAGGCTAGTCTTGAATTTGTGAGCTCAAGCAATCCACCCACCTCGACCTCCCAGAGTGCTAGGATTACAGGCGTGAGCCATGGCACCTGGCCATGAATGTTGTGAATTGTTTATTTTTTTAAATTATTCTTTATTAAATCATAACTTTGTATGCTGATGTATTTGTGGGGTTCAGGGTACTGCTTCAATATACAAGGAACTAAGTAACACATCCATCGCAATTATACTCATTTCCAAATAGTTTTGAAATGTACCATTGCATCACACACATTAGGTGAGGTCCCCCCAAATGCCCTTCCTCCTCACATATCCCCCCTCCCCTCCCCTCCCCTCCCTTTCCTCTTCTACTATCTGGACTATAGTTATGTTTTGCCATTCCTATGAGTGTGTAGGTGGTTATACATTGATTTCATAGTAGTGTTGAGTACATTGGACACTTTTTTTCCCACTCTTGAGATACTTTGCTAAGAAGAATATGTTCCAGCTACATCTAGGTAAACATAAAAGATGTGACATCTCCATCTTTTTGTGGCTGCATAGTATTCCATGGTGTATCTATACCACAATTTGTTAATCCATTCATGGGTCAATGGGCACTTGGGCTGTTTCCATGTCTTGGCTATTATGAATTGGGCTGCAATAAACATTCTGGTGCAACTGTCTTTGTTGTAAAATGATTTTTGATCATCTGGGTATATACCTAGTAGAGGAACTGCAGGATGGAACAGTAGGTCTACTTTTAGTTCCTTGAGTGTTCTCCAAACTTCTTTCCAAAAAGGTCGTATTAGCTTGCATTCCCACCAGCAGTGTAGACGTGTTCCCTTCTCTCTGCATCCATGCCAACATCTGTAGTTTTAGGATTTTGCAATGTGGGCTACTCTTACTGGAGTTAGGTGATATCTCAAAGTGGTTTTGATTTGCATTTCTCTGATGACTAAGGATGATGAGCATTTTTTTCATGTGTTTGTAGGCCATGTGCCTGTCTTCATCAGAGAAGTTTCTGTTCCAGTCTCTTGCCCACAGAGAAATGGGGTTATTTATTCTTTTCTCATTAATTAGTTTGAGTTCCCTGTAGATTCTAGTTATCAGGCCTTTGTCAGAAGCATAACCTGCAAAAATCTTCTCCCATTCTGAAGGTTATCTGTTGCTTACTGTGCTCTTGGCTATGCAAAAGCTTTTTAGTTTGATCAGATCCCAGTAATGTATTTTTGGTGTTGCTTTAATTGCCCAGGGGGTCTTCCTCATAAAGTATTCTCCCAGGCCAATTTCTTCAAGTGTTTTCCCTGTACTCTCTTCTAGTATTTTTATAGTTTCATATCTTAAGTTTAAATCTCTTATCCAGTGAGAATCAATTTTTGTTAAAGGTGAAAAGTAGGGGTCCAGTTTCAGTCTTCTACAGGTTGCCAGCCAGTTCATCCAGCACCATTTGTTAAATAGGGGGTCTTTCCCCCACTGAATTTTTCTTTTTTTTTTTTTGCCAGGGCTGGGTTTGAACCCACCACCTCTGGTATATGGAGCTGGCGCTCTACTCCTTTGAGCCATAGGCACCCCCCCCCCGAATATTTTTGATAGAATTATCGAAGATCAAATGGCAATAAGTAGTTGGGTTCATCTCTTGGTTCTTTATTCTGTTCCATAAATCTACTGCTCTGTTTTTGTGCCAGTACCATGCTGTTTTGTATAGATTTATAGTATAGCCTGAAGTCTGGTAATGTGATACTTCCTGATTTGCTCTTATTTCTGAGTAATGTATTTGCTATTCCAGGTTTTTTCTGTTTCCTTATAAAACAAAGTACTATTTTTTTCATGTTTTTTAAAGTATGACAATGGAGCTTAAATAGGGATTGCATTAAATCTGTAGATTGCTGTGGGTAGTGTGGACATTTTAACAATGTTGATTCTTCCCAGCCATGAGCATGGTATGTTTTTCCATTTGTTAACATCTTCAGCTACTTCTTTTCTCAGAGTTTCATATTTCTCTTTATAGAGATCTTTCACGTCCTTTGTTAGGTAAGTTCCCAGATATTTCATCTTCGTTGGCACTATTGTAAAAGGAATAGAGTCCTTGATTGTGTTTTTGGCTTGACTATTGTTGGTGTATTAAAAGCTACTGACTTGTAAGTATTGATTTTGTATCCTGAGACACTGCTGTATTCCTTGATCACTTCTAAGAGTTTTGAAGTTGAGTCTCTGGGATTTTCCAGGTATAGGATCATATCATCAGCGAAGACTGAGCGTTTGATCTCCTCTGACCCTATTTGGATACCCTTGATCACCTTCTCTTGCCTGATTGGATGGCTAAGACTTCCATTACTATGTTGAATAGCAGTGGAGACAGTGGGCATCCTTACCTTGTTCTTGATCCAAGTGGAAATGTTTTCAATTTTACAACATTCAATATGATATTGGCTGTGGGTTTGCTGTAGATGGCATCTATTAGTTTAAGAAATGTCCCTTCTATGCCTATTTTCTTAAGAATTCTGATCATGAAAGGATGCTGGATATTATCAAAGGCTTTTTCTATATCAATTGAGAGAATCATATGGTCTTTGTTTTTTATTTTATTGATATGATGTATTTATAGATTTGTGTATGTTGATCCAAACTTGTAACCCTGGAATAAAACCAACCTGATCATGGTGTATAATTTTTTTGATGTGTTATTGAATTCTGTTTGCTAAGATCTTATTGAATATTTTTGCATCTATATTTGTTAATGATATTGGTCTGCAATTTTCTTTCTTTGTTGAGTCCTTTCCTGGTTTGGGGATCAGGGTGATATTTGCTTCATAGAATGTGTTAGGAAGTAGTCCTTCTTTTTCTATGCTTTGGAAAATGC